CTTTTTCAACAGGAGTTATTTAAAGTACATAAAATAAAAATACATATTATAAATATTTTGATCTTAGAGCTCAATTGTTCTTCTCTTTTTCAACCTTGAGAATATTTAAGAAGTTTGGAGGTCACAGGACAGAAAGCCTTTAAACACAAAGCAGTACTTTTCATTGGAGCCATGTTATTTGCTTTAAAAAAAAAAAAGTGGGTCTGGGTGTGGTGGCACAGGCCTTTAATTGTAGCACTTGGGAGGAGGCAGGTGGATCTCTGTGAGATCAAGGGCAGTCTGCTCTACATAGCAAGTTCCAGGCCAGTTGGAGCTACAGGGAGACCCTGTCTCAAAAAAAAAAAGACCAAAAAAATAAACAACAACAACAACAAAACAATGTACCACTTTATTGCTTGCAGGTATCAGCCTGGTTTATAGTGAGTCCTTGGAACCAGGGCTCTAGTGAAAGTGCTATGTGACCAGGGTAGACCATCACCTTGAGCCCCATTTCCAAAGGAATTGGCATTTACTCTACTTCCTCCTTAGGACATGGGAATGGCAAGATGGTGGGCAGAAAACTTCTTAGTTTCAAACTTTGCTTATATGACTTGTAGATGTTTTTTAAATGTGCTGGTATTGTTCTAATCACTGTCTAATCACATTCATGAGCACTCAAGGACTCTCATGAGAGTTTACATTTAGTGGAGTTGATGGGAAATTGATAACTTTAGCAGTGACTTGTGTGAAGAAGGTAAAGCAAGGTGACAGTGGAGCGACTAGGAGCCCACTCTGCTTTGCTGGGCAGAGCCTTCTCTGAAGAAATGATATTTAGATTTCAGGGCTAAGGAGAAACAGTAATGAGAAACTGATGGGCAGATCACCTGTAATCTTAGCTTTTGGAAGCCTAGCCTCAGCTACATAATGAGTTTGAGGCCATCCTGGACTACATGAGACTGTCAAAACCAAAAGTTAAAATGGAAGGGACAGAAATAGTAGCAGAGTGTTCACAACAAAGAGATGATTAGTACAGTTTACTAAGCTTGGAGCATACTTGTTTGTGTGGGGAAGCACAGCTGGTCCAGGGAGAGTGGTGAGGGATGAGATCAGGGAGGTAGACAAGGATCGAGCCATCTGGACACTCAGGCCAGAACACCCACTAGCCTGGCTGCACACTGATGACACTGATTTTATGGAGAGCAAGAATACATTCAAGGGGGCCAGAGAAATGGTTCAGTAGGTAAAGGGTAAAGGCGCTTTCTGTGCATGCCCAGCCACCTATGTTTGATTCCTGGAACCATATAAAGGTAGGAGGGAAGGACCAACTCCAGGCTTGTCCCCTGACCTCCACATCCACTTATGGCATGCTAACCATACACGAACATCATATGTACAATAGTAATTAATTAATTAAAAAGTTTAAAAAAGAACACAGACATTGATAATGTGAGTGTAAATGGCATGACCATTTGTCATCCATCGTTTTCTCATCAAGTTGGTTGGCCATGTAGCCTGTGACTGGTCATGTAGCCTGTGACTAGAAGGCTACATGACCAAAGGATGTGCTCTGAAAAGTATGGTATTCCAATATCACATGTCAAGCTTGATGGATTTTGTGGGCTTCTCTGCAGAGTCTCAGTCTTCATCATTGTCCAAGTAAGAACGCTCTCCACTGTTACCCTTCTAGCTAGTGCTGAGCCAAGAGCCCTTTGTGCATTTGCAGAGATTTCTTCTGATTCAAAGCCAGGTTTGTTTTGTTTGGCTTTTTGAGACAGGATCTCCTGTAGCCAAGGCTGACCTGGAATTCCTGATCTCCTCCTCCTTCCACTTCCCAAGTACTTAAAAGTACAGGCATGCACCACCACACCTGACTTGATGGCAGGCTTATGAATGCAGCATATGACATAGGGAGCTAGCCTTAGATTTCTCCATTCCAGTTAGGTACATCTGAAGAAGAGATACAGACTCCCTAAGTCACACATAAATTTAGATCTAGAAAAAGGAAGCCAAATCCATGCAGCTGAAAGGAGAGCTGTTGGACAGCTTTATGTTTTGCTTCAACCCTCAGGCTTCTGGCCACCTTCCTTCAGGACTTCAAAGGCTAGAGGTGTGACGTCCACATCTTAAGTGGCTGGGCTCCAGTTCATTCCCAGCATGAGTGGGCAGAAACCTGGCTGCAGGTCACCCGGGAGATTGCTGAGCATGCAGACTCTTCCTGACCTTATTATTTTCTCCTCCTTCTTGGAAATGTCAGGAATGACAAGCCTGGGCTCTTCGTTTGCTAAAGGAATTGGGGTGTCCTCTGGTTACATTCCCCCTAGAGTAAGATTGCAGATCTGACTGACCGTTTGGGATTTTGCAGTCAGTTGGACCCTAAATGAAGCAGGAAACTCAAGAGAACCATGCACTTCTCTTTCTCCCTCTTTTTTTTTTTTAAACTTTTATTATTATTATTATTTATTTATTTATTTTTGGTCTTTTTGAGACAGGGTCTCCCTGTAGCCCCAGCTGTCCTGGAACTCACTATGTAGACCAGGCTGGCCTTGAACTCACAGAGCTCGGCCTGCCTCTGCCTCCCAAGTGCTGGGATTAAAGGCATGCGCCACCACACCCAGCTAAACTTTATTATTTTTATTTTATGTGTATTAGTGTATTGCCTGCCTGTATGTAAGTGCACCCGTGTTGTGCAGTGCCTGTGGAGGTCAGAAGAGGGCATCAGATCCTTTGGAACTGGAGTTAGGACAGTTGTTAGCCACCATGTGGGTGCTGGGAATCGAACCTGGGCCCTCTGCAAGAACAGCCAGTGCTCTTAATTGATAAGCTATCTCTCTAGCTCCCCTCTTCTCTTTTCTAAATAAGTCTTTCTTCAGACATCTTTTACCAGCTAAGAATTCCATCGATTTTAGCAAGTGAGTCAGTGATAGGAAAGGACCAGCAGATGGGAAGCTGACTGGAATAGTTCCTGTAGTCTTCATTTGTAGCTACCACAATACTTAGGTACTCAACATGAGTGCTGGTTCCCACACTGAGCATCCATGTTTTTTTCTCAAGTAGAATGGTACTGTTTCTTTGCCTCATAGTCAGGATAGGGGTGTGTGTTTAGATGGCAGTCTCCTCCTGGGTCTGTTACCACTTCCATCCCGGTCTCATCCCACCCCCATTTTCTCAGTTAACCTGTTTTTTCTTTTTCTTTAGACCAATGAGGCGAGCTCAGAGTCAATAGCATCCTTCTCTAAACAAGAGATCATGAGTAGCTTTCTGCCGGAGGGCGGGTATTACGAGCTTCTCACCACCATAGGTAACATCCAGGGGCTGTCCTGTCCCCTCCCATGTGTCGTCATCGTCCCCCCCCCCCACCTCAGCCTTCTCAGCCAGTTGGGAGGACTCGCTGGCAAAACAGGCTTCTGTAGATCTTTGCGTTTCTTTGGCCATTTCAGGGTGTGTGTGGGGGGGTGCTCTTTTTTGATATTTTTCCTTCGCGGATACATCAGATATCCTAGGCCCTGGTCAGGTAGAATGGTCGGCTGAGGAACTGAGAAAATCCAAGAAATGTCAGCCATGCCAGGCACCTTTTATCCCAGCACTCAGAAGCCAGAGGCAGGTGGATCTGCCTCTGTGGGTTCAAGGCCAGCCTGGTCTACATAGTGAAGTTTTAGGCCAGCTGGAGCTACAGGGAGACTCCCTCAAAACTCAAAAAGACCACAAAGAAAGAAGAAAAAAAAAGAAATGTCAACCATGAAATAGTGAGAATTTGAACTAGAATTTTCTGTTAAAATTTAGTCCCCTTTTTCTAGAAGATAAGAAATCTTTGTGGCTGTTGTCCTGTGTAAGGCATCCCTCTTTCTTTTCAGGCAAAGGATTTGAGGACTTGATGACAGTGAATCTAGCCAGGTACAAACCAACAGGAGAGTATGTGACAGTACGAAGGATTAACCTGGAAGCCTGTTCTAATGAGATGGTGACATTCTTACAGGTAATAAAGTGTGAGTGTGCCCCCTGGGAAGGTTAACCTTTGATTCCATAGTAATCTTACGGTATCTGTCACCTCAGTCCTCTGAGAGTTGTGGCAGCACATCAAGGTGGACTATGCTTTCAGAACTCAGGAAATGTCAATGAAGAATCTTAAGCATTTATTACTATGGATTGGGCTGTAGTGCAGCTCAGCCCAACTTATCCCCTCTTCCATAAATATTTCTTTTCAGTGCATTATTATTCAGACAGGCTAAGTAATGTGCCCACAATCAAGGAAGTAGTGAGCAGCAGAGGCCTGACCCAGACCCAGGAAGTCTTGTTCATCAAGTGGCACCACCAGTGGCCATTTTCTGGCCCTTAGCATCCTGTTTGCTGAGGGACTGTTTTCATTTAAGAAGCAAGGAATCACCCTCTTGTCACATTGAGAAATGACAGGTCTAGGAGCTGCCTGGGGCCAGACTTTTCTTGGCCAGTGTCCCTTGTGTGCAGGGCCCAGCACTGTGTGTACTCATACAGTTGTTTATAGCTCCTGCTCCTTCATCTGCAGTATTCTGAACTTTGCTCACCTACCAGTGCACCAGTCCCAGTTCATCTGTTCCACATCACTAGATGGGGCAGAGGATGGAGAAGGCCATTAGCTTAGTTATTTGAGAAAAAAAAAAAATCTCAATTTATTCTAGAACACATTTGACCATATGCATGTTCTATTTTTTTCTCTTCAGCAACAAGCAGGCAAAGCACTGCACCTGGCCTGAGTTCCACTCACAAAGGCCAGGATCTGGAATTTCTGTGTGTTTCATTGTGTTTTTATTTTTTTTTTTTGAGACAGGGTCTCATGTTGTAGGTCAGGCTGGCCTAGAACTCATTATAATAGCCCAGACTGGCCTCAAACTCATAGCAATCCTCCTGTCTCAGCTTCCCAAGCACTGGGATAACAGACATGAGCCATTTGGCTCTTCTGTAGTTTTTTTCTGCATTTTTTTTTAAGTAAAAATTTTTTTGATTTATTTTTATTTTATGTATATGAGTGTTATGCCTACATGTATGTAAGGGCATCCGTATCATGCAGTGCCCATGGAGGTCAGAAGAGGGAGTTGGATCCCTTGGAACTGGAGTTACGGACTTGTTATCATGTGGGTTCTGGGATTCGAACCCAGGTCTTCTGCAACAACAACCAATGCTCTTAACTGCTGAGCCACCTTCTTCAGCCCCCTTAGTTTTTTTTTAATACCTGCTTCTAAGGAAGGGATTTCCTAATCAAAGTGTTGGAAAGATGTCTCCTGATGTTTCACATTTGTCATTTATTCGTCAACTATTACCCTTTGAGTTATAGTGGGAAAATATTTTTGCTTCTTTCATCTTTTTAAAAATTATTTTATGTATATGTGTATTTGTTTTTTTAAAATATGTTATTATTTTTATTTCATGTGTATGAGTGTATTGTCTGCATGTATAAGTGCACTCTTGCTGTGCAGTGCCTGCAGAGGTAGGTCAGAAGAGGGCTTCGGAGTCCCTGGAACTGGAGTTAACTAACGGATGGTTTGTAGCTGCCATTAGGGTGTGGGGAATCAAACCCCAGTCCTCTACAAGAGCAGTTAGTGCTCTTAACTGCGGAGCCATCTCTCCAGGCCCCCCCCTTTTGTCTTTTTAAGACATGATTTCTCTATAGCGCCAGTTGCCTGGACTTGCTATGGAGACCAGGCTGGCCTTGATCTCACAGAGATGTACCTGCCTCTGCTTCCCGAGTGCTGAGATTAAAGGTGTGTGCCACTGTGCCCAGCTTTTTATTTGTTTTTGAGACTGTATCCACTATGTTACTCAGCCTGGCTCAAATGTTCTTTTTCTCTCAGTCTCCCAAGTGCTAAGACTGTGTTCATGTCTTAAAGCAGAGGTCTGTACCTTAAGTTGAGTTAAGCTAATTATTCCCTGAGCCTTCTGTCAGCATTTTGTCATCTCTGAGGCGCTGATCCTCACTGTGTTGACAGCAGTTGCCCCTATGTGGTGAGGGGTTGTTTCTGGAGGTTCTTGAAGTTTGGTGGCTGGCCACCTAAATGCACAAGAGGATACATCAGGCTGGCTTTTCTGCAGGAATAGCAGGCCCTGGTTTCTCTTGTTGGAAGGACCCACTTGGGCTGCTCCTGGGACTCTGAGAAGAGTACCCAGAAAGAACTAGGTTGCCCTGTTATTTATTCATTGCCACCTTCATGTTGGATGTTGTCCTAGTTTGTCTCTCCATTGCTGTGACAAAACACTCTAACCAGTACCAACTTGGGGAGGAAAAGGTTTATTCAGCTTACATCTCCCAGGTTACAGTTCTTCAGGGAGCCCAAGGTAGGAACTCAGGGCAGGAACTTGGAGGCAGGAGCTGGAGCACAGGCCATGGAGGAATGCTGCTTACTGGCTTGCTCCCCTGGCCCCTGCTCAGCCTGCTCTCTTATCCAACACAAGGTCACCTGCCCAGGGGTGGCACCCACCACAGTGGGCTGGGCCCTCTCACATTACTCAACAATCAAGAAAATGCCCCACAGTCATGGCCACAGGCCAGTCCAATGGAAGCAATTCCCCAATTGAGGCTCCCTCAACCCAGGTGTGTCAAGTTGACACTAAAACTATCCAGCACAGATGTCATTCTTCAGTGCACTCGATTCTGACTTGAGCTTTGCTGTGGCTTTCAGGGGGAGCTTCATGTCTCTAAACTCTTCAGTCATCCCAACATAGTGCCATATCGAGCCACCTTTATCGCAGACAATGAGCTGTGGGTTGTCACATCATTCATGGCATATGGTGAGTGGGAAGGGTTTCTGGTAGAAAGGGTTCTAAGAACAGTTGGCAGATTCCGTCTGTGCTGTTTTCCTTTTCTTTTACCCTCCGCACCCTTTCCTTCAGGTTCTGCAAAGGATCTCATCGGCACACACTTCATGGATGGCATGAGTGAACTGGCGATTGCATATATCCTGCAGGGGGTGCTAAAGGCCTTGGATTACATCCACCACATGGGCTATGTGCACAGGTATATTCATAAGCTACTTTAACCCTTATTTAGTAAGAGCCAGTATCTAATGACATTGAATCCTTAGAGAAAGAGATAAAGTTTGACAGAGTTAATGAAGCCAAAGTTTAAAAAAGGTGTTAACAGGGCTGGAGAGATAGTTCAGTGGTTAAGAGTACTGGCTGCTCTTGCAGAGGACCAGGGTTCAAACCAGCTCCCACATGGCAGCTGACAACTGTCCATAACTCCAGTTCCAGGGAATCTGCCCTCTCCTGACTCTGCAGGCATTGTACGACATGGATGCACCCACCTACATGCAGGTATTACATTCATACACATAAAATTAATAATAATAATAATGAAGATGTTAGCTTTATCTAAACATACAGATTAGAAAAGGCCATCAAAATAATAGGAAATGGACAAGGGATAAGGTTTATAGCAGAGTAACTAAACGCCAGCAATTACAGGAACAGACACTCAACCCTAGCTGTCAAGAAAGCAAATGAAGATAAGATGTCACATTGTCGCATAACTGGCAGTGGCTAGAAGACTGGGGGAGGCTCAGTGTGTGAAGATGCAGAGCCTCCTGTCCACACAGTGGAAGATGCCCTGATGCAGCCAGTCCAGGGACATGGAACCAGGACTGTCAAGAGGCTGTGGGCCTATGCCCCAAAGAAACCTCTTCTCAGGCCCAATAGGGGACCTGTGTGCTCTCAACTCTCTACTCATATTTAATATTATGTAGATGCATCTTGAGATCGCTGGACTAGAGGTGGCCATTAGAAGCAAGGGTTAGATGAATACAGATAGCAACAAGGAGAAGTCTTGCAAACAGCACTGAGAAAACAACATGAAACCATTAGGTAAATTTAAAGTGTGTACAAGATAATGGTACCCTGTCCCAGAATGCGAGTAAAAGATGCAGATTAAAAGCATTATAAGCTGGGTGTGGTGGTGCATGCCTTTAATCCCAGCACTCGGGAGGCAGAGGCAGGTGGATCTCTGTGAGTTCAAGGCCAGCCTGGTCTACATAGTGAATTCCAGGACAGCTGGGGCTGCAGGGAGATCCTGTCTCAAAAAGACAAAAATAAATAAATAAATAAATAAAAAAGCATTGTAGGCCTGCCATGGTGGTACATGACTGTAAGAGAGACAGAGGCCAGAGGACCAAGAGTTTGGGGCCAGTCTGGGCTACATAATGAGTTGCAGTTCTTTTTTTCTCAAAAAAAGAAAATTTATAGAAGCAATAGTTGGCTGGATATGACCTATCATCCCAAAGCTGGGAGGCTGAAGCAAGGAGGTGACATGTTCCTGGCTAGCCCAGCCTGGGGCACATAGTGAGACTATCTCAAAATAGGGAAGGGACAGGAGGGGAAGGAAAACGGGAGGGATGGAGGACAGGGGAAGGGAGCATAAAGGAGAACTCATCAGATCCCCTGGAACTGGAGTTATGGACAGTTGTTAGCTGCCATGTGGGTGCTGGGATTCAAACTTGGGTCTTCTGCAAGAACAGTCAGTGTTCTTAACTGCTGAGCCAACTCTCCAGCCTGTTTTTGACTTTTTGAAATGGTCTCCTATAGCCCCAGCTGACAACTCATTATGTAGACCAGGCTGGCCTTGAACTCACAGAGATCCATCTGCCTCTGCCTCCTGAGTGCTGGGATTAAAGGCGTGCACGATCCCCCCCAGCTGTAAGTTGTTTTTTTTTTAATTAATCTATTTTTCATGTAGTCTTCTTAGTTTCATTTTTGTAAATATTTAAATATATTATGTAAACTAACAATGGTAAATAGGATGTTATAATTGTAAGTAGAAGATAAAACTATAACTTAGATTTATTCTCTTGGTGATATCAGCAAAGCTGTTTTTTGTTTTTTTCTGGTCTTTTTGAGTCAGGGTCTCCCTGTAACCTCAGCTGGCCTGGAACTTGCTATGTAGATCAGACTGGCTTTGATCTCACAGAGATCCACCTGCTAGAATTAAAGGTATGTTCCACCATGTCGGGTAGATTTATTCTCTTGGATCTATATTCATACAGCTGGGGCATAGTGGTGCACACCTTTAATACCAGCACTTGGCAAGTGGATCTCTATGAGTTTCAGGCCAGCCCAGTCTACATAGTAAATTATAGGCCAGCTAAGGCTACATAGTGAGACCCTGTCTCAAAAGAAAAATTAATGGTACATGAATGGGCCTGTGTTATTTTCTCATTTGTGGTTTAGAATTTTCCATAACAAATGTTTATATATGTATAAGATGCACATATATGCATATCATACATTTGGGAGAGAGCTGGCCAGATCTAGTGTGTAAAGACTGGAGGTTTTAGTGTAAGGGGCATCTCCTGTCCATAACCCCCTTCTTACCTCCCCCAGGAGTGTCAAAGCTAGCCACATTCTGGTCTCCATGGATGGAAAAGTCTACCTGTCTGGTTTACGCAGCAACCTCAGCATGATCAGCCATGGGCAGCGGCAGCGTGTGGTCCATGATTTCCCCAAGTACAGTATCAAGGTTCTGCCTTGGCTCAGCCCAGAAGTCCTCCAGCAGGTCTGTGTCCTGGGCCCCAAAGAGCCCCTGTCTCCCACCAACTCATAATTTCCCAAGGGCACACAGGAATTTACTGGGTTGGGGCACTCCCTGTTTCTGAGTAGAATAAGAGGACTCCAGAGGGAGAGGTCCCTGTTGGCCAGGTGTGTCTTGGCACCCTCAGCATGGACATTGGCTGCCCACTGTGAACCTGTGGCTTCCCAAACTGTACTTGACACTACTGTATCTCCTTCAAGGATCCTTCCTACCCTATGGATAGAAAGCATTCTAGAAGTACTTGGTTTTCTCTAGATCCCTGTGCTGAGTAGGCACCCAGCATGCCTCCCTGCTTATTAGATAGCAGCACCAAGCATTCGTTGCTTGTCAAATAGCAGTTACCCTTCAGCAGGAAGGAGAGAGTTGCTAACATCTAGTCCTGATTGTGGGCAGGCATTCTTTTCCTCCTCAGTTTTTGTTCCTTCTTTTTCTAAACAAAGACCAGGGCTGCGAATGGAGTCATCTGTGGCTTTTTTCTCCTGACTTAGAATCTTCAGGGTTATGATGCCAAGTCTGATATCTACAGCGTGGGAATCACAGCCTGTGAACTGGCCAATGGCCATGTCCCCTTTAAGGATATGCCTGCTACCCAGGTGAGCCTATAATCCAGTGATTCCCTTGCCTGCCTTCCACAAGTGCTCTTCCTACCACACTCAGAGACACTAAGGTCATGAACATCAAAGACGTGCTTTTTCTTTAAGAAGTCCCCATGCCCTTGGTGGAGGGGTGCTTGTGTAATTCTTTGTTCCCTTCTCTGGAGATGAATGCTGTGGTCAAGAAGCCCAACCCAGGGAGTTGGGTAAGCGCAGCAGTGTGAATGGAGACGCCTATACCATATGCCTATGGAAAGTGGATAGGCCAAGCTAACCAGTTTTATTGGGTTTTTGTTTTGTTGTTAATTACATGATTTGTGTATTTTTGTGTATAGGGGTGTACCAAGGTGAATGTGTGGGAATTAGAGGACAACTTGTGGGAGCTGGTTCTCCATTCCACCATGTGGGTCCCAGGGATTGAACTCAGATCATGTTATCAGGCTTGGCAGCAAGTGCCTTTACCTACTAAGCCATCTTGCTGACCCCTTTTTTTTGGGGGGGGGTTGAAATAGTCTCTTTCTATAGTTAAGGCTAGCCTTGAATTTATAGCAGTTCTCCCACCTCAGCTTCCCAAGTGCTGGGATTATAGGCATGTATTATCATGCCTAGCTAAGCTAACCAATTCTTAAAATTTCATCAGATATCATCTATCTTCCTTCCTTAGTAAGTATACCTAGAAGGTTGGATTCTTTTTTTTTTTTTTCAATCTTTTTTTGAGACAAGGGTCTTCCAGTAGCCCCAACTGACCTGGAACTCAATATGTAGACCAGGCTGGCTTGAATTCATAGGATCTGTCTGCCTCTGCCTCTGTCTCTACTGAGATTAAAGGCGTGTGCCACCACACCCAGTGAAGATTGGATTATTTTTATTTATTTATTTATTTATTTATTTATTTATTTATTTATTTATTTATGCTTTGCCTATGTAGACCAGGCTGGCCTTGAACTCACAGAGATCTGCCTGCCTCTGCCTCCCAAGTGCTGGGACTATAGGTATGTGCCACCATACCCGGCTTGAAGATTAGATTCTTACTTCAAATACTCAGATATCCTCAGGGTTTCGTGCCACATTTTTAGAACCTGCTTTCTACAAGTTCAGCTTCTGTTGGTGCCCTCACACCTGCCTGCCCTTTGGCCACCCTCATGCCTACAAGTACACGGCCAGTGGCACAGTCTCCTCTGAGGTGGATAGACTCAGGAAGGAGACTTGTACAGGCCTCATCACACCCAGGAAGTGGAGTTGGGTTGTATGGGCAGGTATTACCTGGGTCCCAGGTACCTACCGCAAGGTCTTTAACCAGGAGGAAGCATGCACAGGCCCTGAGCTAGCCTCTTCCTCCAGTTTACAGATTGCTTGCCCTATAGGCACAGGTTACAGCTAGAGAAGGCCAAGTGAGCCATCTAGAGCAGGGGCCTGGGAAACTTCTGGGAGGGGACACTACTTGATCTAGCCTAGCCTTTTTTTTTTTTTTTTTAAGCCTTTTACTTTTTATTATGAGTTTCTGTTGTATCACATGAGTATGGGTACCTACAGAGGCCAGAAAGGAGCATAAGATCCCCTGGAATTGGAGTCACGGTGGTTGTAGCCACCTGACATGGGTGATGGGAACCAAACTCGGATCCTGGTGCAAGAGCATCAGGTACTCTTAACTGCTGAGCCATCTCTCCAGCCCTTGGTCTAGTCTTAAAAACTATAGCAGGGCAGGGCATGGTGGCATATACCTTTAGCACCAGCACTCAGGAAGCAAACAGCAGAAATAGTAGTTAGCCATGTGAAGAGCGGGAACAGAGGCCAACTCATGGACAAGGTATATTAGCTTAGAGGATATTCAAAGCCCTGGGTCCAGCCTTCAACACACACACATACACACACACACACACACACACACACACACACACATACACAGCTGGCCCTTTAAGACCTGGAGCTAAGAAAGAACAAGATGTGGGGCATGCCACACAAAATGCTGGGATACAGGTGCATGGGGGCTGCTGGGTGAGAAGGCTGGAGAAGGAAGCAAGTGCTTCCCGTGCATGCCACTTACCCTTGAGCGTTTGTCTCCTGTTCCAAAGAATGTGGAAAAGTGCTAAGGATGTAAGCAGAGCAGTGATGATAACAGAGTTTCTATTTTTCTCTTAGAAAGGTGATTCTAATCCATCCAGATGGATTATATCTGCTAGAATAATCAGGAGGGTGTGGGAGCCTAGGGGTCAGAAATGTATAAGAAAAAATAATTCAGGGCTGGAGAGATGGCTCAGCAGTTAAGAGCACTGACTGCTTTTGCAGAGGACCCGAGTTTAATTCCCAGCACCCACATGGCAGCTACAAACTGTCCTTAATTCCAGTTCCAGGGGAATCCGAAGCCCTCTTTTGACCTCCATGGCATTGCATGACATGGGTGCACTCACATACATGCAGGCAATACACTCATACACATAAAATAAAAAGAAAAAAAATTCAAGAAACAGGTGATGCTTTGGAAAGAATTAGATGGCTATTTAGTGTGAATATTTTTTAGGTTCAGATCTAGAAATAGCACTAACCAATAAAAACTTTTCTGCAGTGATAGAAATGTCTGTCCTGACACTGTACAATAAGGGAGCCACTAGCCACTTGTTATATTGAGCATTTAAAAGTTGCCACTGAATTTTAAGGCTAACTCAGTCACATGTGGCCAGGGGCTATCACATTAGCACAGTCCTAGAGACATTTCCAGGTTCTGGTTTGGATTGTTCATGAGGATACTTACAAGGACTCAAGGTGGGGCTGGGGCTGTTTTTGCATGTGTCAAGTTTGAGGACTTTGGGAAAGCTGCCCAAACCTAGCCTGCCCCTGGGCACTCTATGGAGTGCAGCTGCCTATCACCCCAGGGTATGGGCATTACCAAGGTGCATTGTGGACTCCACTGGACCCACCTGGGCCTATCTGGGCCTAGCAAAGTGGAGCTGGACTTCAAAGAGGGTTACTTGGCTATTGCCTAGACCCTAGAGTGAGGGCTCTACAGTTAAAGGAATTCAGTGCCTTGAAAGAGGGAGAGGAACTCCTATCCTTCTGTCCAGCTGTAGTGAAGGGTACCTGCAGCCCCTCCTTTTTAAGTCCCCCATTACCACTGAACCAGTGGCCAATGTTCCTTTGGAAAATTCACGCTTAATCAACTTCCATCTTTATTCCCCAAATAACTCATTTGTTTATGGAGTGTATTTGTAAGGAGATTCTTGGCGTTGCAGGGCCCCACCAACTCAGACCCTGGCTCTGTCTTCCCAGATGCTGTTAGAGAAATTGAACGGTACAGTGCCCTGCCTGTTGGATACCAGCACCATCCCAGCTGAGGAACTGAGCATGAGTCCCTCACGTTCTGTTGCCAACCCTTGCCTCAGTGAGAGCCTGGCCACTGGCAGCCTCCGGCCTTCCAACGGTGACTCACCCTCCCATCCCTACCATCGAACCTTCTCCCCCCACTTCCACCATTTTGTGGAGCAGTGCCTTCAGCGCAATCCTGATGCAAGGTATTGTACTGGGCAGGGGTTGAGCTTCAGGGTAGCAGAGGAGCTGGGGAGTTGGGGCCAGCATTCGAGAAGGTGCCACTCAAGTAGAGATTTGGGTTCCCAGAGGAATGTGTGTGACACCACAGCAAGAGGAATCTGCTTCTTGTTAAGCCATTCTTGTTAAGCAATTTGGGCTATTATTGCTTTCATTCTTTTATTTATTTAATTTTATTTTATTTTATTTTATTTGGTCTTTTTGAGACAGGGTCTCCCTGTAGCCACAGCTGTCCTGGAACTCAGTATGGAGCCCTGGCTGGCCTCGATCTCACAGAGATCCGCTTGCCTTTGCCTTCTAAGTTTGGGGATTAAAGGCATGGGTCACCACACCCAGCTGGGTGATTATTTCTTGGGTGAGCTCAGGAAAGAAGTTGAGGGTGTGAGGGACAGGGTGAGTGGCAAGATTTGAGCCTAGTGGTGATGTGCATCTCTCCCCCTTTCTCTCCAGGCCAAGTGCCAGCACCCTCCTGAACCACTCCTTCTTTAAGCAGGTATGTGGCACTCCCCCTTGGGCTCCCTGCCTGTGGCTCTAACTACCCCTAACCACCTTAGCTAGAAAAATGACTGGTTTCCAAAGCCCTGAGAGGCTCTGCTGCTTCTTGCCATCTTTTGACTCCAGGACACCATGAGGCAGGAACCAGGGCCTGGTGATAGATGGTCCCGTGGGGCCTTGGGACCTGAGTCATAAGCTCCGTCATCCAACTCTGTTTTTTCCTCAGATCAAGCGACGTGCTTCAGAGGCTTTGCCTGAGTTACTTCGTCCTGTCACCCCCATCACCACTTTTGAGGGCAACCAGTCTCAGGATCACAGTGGAATCTTCGGCCTGGTGACAAACCTAGAAGAGCTGGAGGTGGATGATTGGGAGTTCTGAGTCTCTGCAGACTGCATTCTCTAGCCCACGGCATGTGGACCCCAGAGACCTTTCCTGAGGGCCAGCACCTGCTTCTGGGTGCAGACTGAGTAGAAAGGACATGCTGCCAGCAGAGCTGGCTACTGGCTGCTTGGAAGGACATTCTGGGACAGACTTCACTGGCTTTTGAGACACAGGGAATCCCAATCATCAGGGATTTGGAGGGGCCAGAAAGCTGACATCCTGTTCTGTGAGCGCAGAGAACCTCCTTAGAAGGCAGAGATGCTGCTCTGGCCCCAGGGCTGAAGTCCAAGGCCAGAGTTTAACTCAGGACCCGGGGAACTATCACCTGCTCTTCCCACTGCCTGCTCTCCTGCCAGCCTAATTTTATTCACTTTCTCTGCTCTCAGATCCTGCAGGGCCATAAAGGGGCAAGTCATAAACAGCCTGCCCCTACCCTGACCCCTTGCCCTCAGGTATCACCCTAATAATTGAAAGGAAGGATATTTCTATCTTTTTAAGCACCAAGTCAAGGCTGGGGCTGGCCATCTTCATCCCTCCCATCTCTTGGGCCCTGACATCTGAAGCCATCTCTTAGGTCATCTGTTATAGTACATTCCTTTCCCAAGAATCCTTCCTAATGCCTCCTGCCAGCTGCTGCCTTGGTGCCTCCTCCAAGGGCCATAAATGTCTTGCCTCATGTGAGGGCTTAAGTCCTTACGTTGTATGAGTTTCCTTGTCAGAAGAAATTAAAATGTTCAGAGTATGCTGGGGAATAGCACCAGTGTTTACATGTATACAGAGGCTGCAGGCTCTTTCTAGTGTTTGTGTCTCCAAGAATAGCTAGACCAGCTCAGGTACAAGTCACCATGTTCAGGGTCTGCTACCAAAATGGGCTAAGTGCTTGTGGAGGCCTAGCAGTGACTTTGATCAACAGATACACCCTTTTCTTTTTAAAACCCACATAGATGGACATGTTTTTTTTTAAAAAAAAGTATATGTGGGGGATATGTACATGAGTGCTGGTGCCCATGGAGGCCAGAAGAGGGCATCAAACGCTCTGGAACTAAAGTTACACGTAATTGTGAGCTGCCCAGCATGGGTGCTGGGAACCAAACTCAGCTCCTCTGCAAGAGCAGTACATGCTCTTAAATCACTGAGCCATCTCTCCACCAATTATAGATGGTCACTTAATTATCTAAAATTTCAAAACTGTATTAAATTTTACCTATGGCAAAATTAGCTGGAAAGGGTTGCTGGAGAGCAGCCAGGACTACCTCTGGACCTCTAGGGGTTTGGATAAGAGATCTTTGCTTTGGGTAGCATAGAGTAGAAGGTTTTGTCTTGTAACCTGATGTGGTTATCTCCTTATCACCTGTTCTAATACCCAACAAACAAGCATGTAACCTTAGAACCCAGCACTGGGGATCTGGGATTGAACCCAGGGCTTCATGCATGCCAGGCAAGCACTCTGTCAAGTGAGCTACATTCCAAGTCTCAACTGTTAAAATTTCTAAGAAAATGGAAAGTGAAGGCATCTGATGGTCTAAGCAGCCCCAGGAAGGGGGAGGGGGGTGTACTTCCTTAAATTGACATTTGAAGTGCCTTAGCCGAGAGCCTCACCCTGGGGCCCAGCAAGGCATAAAGTGCTAAGGCAGGGCTGTGCATGCATGTGGACATCCACAGGAACTCAGAAACCAAGGTTAGAGTTATTCCCTTGCTTTCCTTGCTCACGCTCCCCAGCACTGCATATACTGGGTGTGGTGACTGGTGCATGCCTATAAACCCAGGGAGGTAGAGGCAAGATCAGAAATAGAACATCATCTCAGCTCTATAGTCAGCTTGAGGCAAATGTGGCCTCAAGAACCTGACTAAAAGAAAAAAAATATCCATTTAAAGAAAAAAATGAGTTGGGCTAGGTTGAGAGGTGCTAGAGATGGATGCCTAGGCTCCCCATATGACAAAGCATACCCCCAGCATACCTCCATGACAGGGGATTTAAACTTTTTTCTTAGAGGCTTACATTTTAAATTCCTTTAAAAAAAAAAAAAAAAAAAAAAAAAGGTAAGCCAGGCGGGATGGCACACGCCTTTAGGCCTTTTGTCCCAGCACTCAGGAGGCAGAGGCAGGCCGATCTGTGAGTTCAAGGCCAGCCTGGTCTACATAGTGAGTCTAGGCCAGCTGGGGCTACGGAGAGACCCTGTCTCATAAAAGACCAAAAAGAAAAAGGTGGATGGAGAGGTATTTCTATGTTCCCCAAGTTGGTTGAACTGGACAAAAGCAATCCTCTTTCCTACTGCCTTCCAAGTAGCTAGGACTACAGGTGTGTACCAACACACTCGGCTTAACACATTTTAGTCTTTTTGTTTTTCTGTGTGTGAGAGACAGGTCTGTGTGTGCAGCCCAGGCGGCCTCAAACTCGGGGATGCTGAGCTTACAGGCCTGAGCCCTCAGCCTAGCTGTTTGCTTTCCTTCCAGATTGCCTTCTTCCTTGCAGTCTGCTCATCTCACCCAAACTGCTGACTATGGTAGCTCCCTGCAGCTCAGTCCCCAGGAGGACTGGCTACCAGTCCATGTCCTGTGACCCTCGAGCCTAGTAGCCTCTTTGGAGAATCTGATGACAGGTGTGAACAATGTCCCCAGAGCCACACGTAGTTGTGGAGGAACACCCATCTGGAAGTCGGCGACTGAACCTCAGTGCAGGCAAAACATCGTCTAGAATGGGCTGAGGGAGAAAAGTGAGGCATAGCGTGGGTGCAGCGAGCAGCCAGGGAAGCGGGGGTGGAGGGGGGGGGCGATGCAGCCTGCTGCATCCCTGCTCCTCCTGTTCTGTTCCCTGACACGTGTGTGGGCCCACGTTGGAGCCGCTAGTCTATTCCTGCCACGGTGTGGGAATATGTCACTTAAGGGCTGTGCTTCGTGAAACAGCCTCTAGCCAGGTTTCAGGCAAAGCCATGCTGCCCCCACCCCAAACCCCACCTCCAGCAGAGGTTTATGTCCCAGAGGTCTCTGCCTAGAAGCCTCCAGCATGGCTAAGACTGTCCTCCCCACGAGTGGGCTGGGGTAGAGCAGCAGGGAGTGGTTTTGCTGTACTTTATTGCTGGAACATACCCGCCAGGTCTAAAGGCCTCTTTGCGCCCTTGTGTGGAGTAGATCGGTATGCTTGCTGAAGGGATGGCAATACTTTCGCTGAGGTCATGACCTCGGCTCAGGCTAGGGCCAAGAGTTAGTAATCCCATAAAACCCAGCCACAGAAACCCTACAGGATGCCCGGCGTGGGAGGGGTGGGTGCTTTGGGAAACCCAGGGCATCTTCCTCCCTGGCCGACGTTTACACGGCTGCAGATTTTCTAGGGTCGTGGACCTGTCACACCCCTCCTGGATGGCTGGCTCCACGGCAAAGCGGCCCACCTCGGCCTAGCAGCAGGGCTTGGAACCTCCATCTTCCTCCGCAGGATTCTGCGCGCGAGAGGGTGCGGGAGCCCGCTAGGAGGGCGCCTGCTTCCGGGGTCCTCCCAGGCTGGACCGTCCTCAGGGCGCGAGGCAGGGGCGGTGCTGATAGTACTCGGGTCTACAACGGCCAACCGGGCACACCGGGGCCGCAAAAGCCCGGGGCGGCGCCGAGAGTGCCCACGTCGTGATCGCAGCCTGAACTTGTCCCCTCCCGAGGGATGCGGTGCGGCCCGCAAGCTTCGGTCTCTTGCCTGCGCGCGGCAGCCGGGGACCCAGAGCTGTAGGGAGTGGGGCGCGAAGGCGACCCAGGGTCGGCGCGGGGTACAGACAAAAGGGGGGGGGGTGCGGCGAGGA